CATTACTATATAACGTTTTTATATTCTAGCAATTATTTGGACTTTCCCACAAAATTATTTTGATTATCGAGCAAAAATTATTTTCAGTTCTGAATTCAGCAAAATTGTTCTTTCCATGTAGTTATTATATAATTCTATTCACATTGAGAGCCTTAATTTCTTCAATTAAATTTATATTTCAAAAATGTTCAATTTTACTAAAAAATGTTTTAAACTTTACAAGTTAATATTTCGTCCTCGATAGTTCCAGTTTAACCTGGAATTCCTTACAATTGTATTAATTCAAAAGAACAGCGGAGAGATCTCTCGTCGCGCACAACGAGCAGCGAATAAATGCGAGTGCTCTCGTTTCGCAGCTGAAATTTAACTTTATTTCATTTTTTTTTTTTGCTTAAACGACTAGAATTACGTGAACGTGTCCGGTCGGGCGTGAGCTTTGTTCCATAACGGCGTTAGAGTTTCACCGCTGTAATTTGCATAGATTAACGTCGACGTGCAAGCTATTACTAATTCCATGGTGGCAGGCTAAATCATTGCGTATCGATCGGTGAACGGGGGCTTATATCGTTGCAGTCAGCGAGCGGCCGGTCGTTTTTCAAAGCGACAATCCGCTTTTATAGCTCTATTTGACCCTTCCGTTACCCACGCAATAATTAACGATCCCGCTGACAGAGATTTGATTTTAGTTGCGCCCCGAGAGTTATTATTACAATCTTAATAGCACATTTTAATAGCGCGTTTCGTTCACGTAATAGCGATGTCGAGCGAGCGTTGTCGTCCGTGAGTCTTTTGCCAGTAATCGTCTATCTTTTATGCGTCGATCTCGAGACTCGAGGCAGCATTTATATCCGATGGCGGATAAATATGTTGAACTCTCGTTCCGTCTTCGCAACGATAACAACCGCTTTGGATAGAGTTAAACGCGGCGTAAAATAATCATATATAATCAAAGTCTCATTATGTATTAATTATTATAATGTATTTGTCCTTCCGAGGATGTTTTTTTTTTGCGCTACGTTTTGATATTCCTACGTTTTTCGTGATCGCGTTATGTAATCTTATCGTTCTTAGATTACACAATACAACACTTTTTTGGGACCTGAATAAACAAAGTGTTTTCCGTTACGTCGAGACCGAAAGTAACGGTGTTGCGCAGTTTGTAGAACTATGAAAAATGTATATAAAATCACATGAAACTTTAATGAGCATCAAGATTCCGCTTTGATCGTCGTTAGCCGATCTCACGAATTTAATGTGAATTAAACATTGTATATATAATGTTTCATTCACATTAAATTCGTGAGATCGACCAACGACGGTCAAAGCAGAATCTTGATGGAATATATATACACCCGACTTTTGTTCTGTAAATTTCTTCACGAATTTGGGGGGGGGGGGATTCTTATAGATGCACGTTAGCATCAAACAGATTAAATTGCTGGTCAATTTAATTCGTTACAAGTGGATTCCGGCCTCGTGTAAAGAAAACTGTGTTTCAAGACCGACAAAAATGCGGCACGCAGTTTGCATGTGCAGGCTGGATACCGTAAAAATTATTACACACCAACATCCGTATTGGCTCGCGTTGGCGTTACTTCACTATTGTTAATCAGGGTTGATAAAAATCATGTTTTTTTTAAAAAAGAACAAAATATTGTAGTTTTTTGTTTAAAACATGCTTTGAACAGTATTTAAAAAAAAAACATGTTTAAAACACGAAGAATACATGATTTAAACATGTTTTAATTTATACATATATATATATATATATAT